CGCTTTTATCAGGGTTACCCAAGCACAGGTCTTGCCTCCAAAAACTTGCACAAAAAGCTGGGCCCAGGGAGAGCTCGTACCAATGGACTTTGGCAGACCTGTCAGTGGAGCACATGGTAAATGGGTTTTGGCAGATATATTGGCAGTGATACAAGCAAGTAGTTTGGATGCAGCAAATATTCCTTTTTGTCTTCCTGTTTACAAGCTGCTTTGGCTCTTGTTTGGATGTGATTTAGCGTGCGTCCCTGAAACATCTGATCTTACCCAGCTCTTCGTTCAGATGTTCCCAATCTTTCAGGTGTTTTGGGACTCTGCTGTCCCATGACATCAGACTCTTCTATAAGAATTTATACCGTTCTCTTCTCTCCTTTGACCACAGGAGAAATGATCTTATCAGGGGGCAAGGATGGAATCGTGGCTGTCAGCAGCCCTCGCACCGGAATGACCATCCGCATCCTTGCTGACCACAAAGGCTCTGCTATCACCGTCCTGCAGTGCATCAGGAAGCAGGTAAGACCTGCCTCTGTGTCCCAGCACCGTGTGGGAGTGAGGTCCCTGCGCTGTGGGAGGGAGCAGCAGCCTGGCTGGGTCAGTTGTCCCGCTCTGCTTTTTAGGCCCAGCACCTCCAGTAACTTCTGTTGGCTTTTTTTTTTTTTTTCAGGGATAGCTTCAGTGGAGAAAAGCCACTGCATTGCTCTCAGGTTGCCTGAGAGGGTGGGCAGACACTCTGTGCAGGCACTATGGGCCCTCCAAGAGCAGCATCCCTTGAGGGCAGCCTGGGCTGGGCCATGCCCCCACTAACAGCCTTGATGCGATTTCCCCACTCCACTCCTTAGCAGCCTGGCTCTGTGTGTGCATCTGGCTCTTTGTGGGGTTGCTCTGTGAAGCCAGAAGGCTTGTTAGTCCAACAGTGGAGTGTTTTTAGCGTCTTTTGTATTTCCCTCCATAGAGGGTCTCTTTGTCCTCTTTGTGACTTCCTGAGATGACAATAACGTTGCCTAAGGTCTCTGACTTGAAAATCTGCAGAAGGCTGCAAAGCTGTTTTTCCTGGTGGCTGTGGAGTGAGGAGGTCTTCCTCTGCTTTAGGTGTATCTGCAGTCTCCTAGGAGATGCTCAGATCAGGTGTCCAAGGGAAGAGATGTGTGTCATTCTGGCCAGGCACTCACTCCTCTTCTGCCGGGGCTTTCAGCCCAGAGCTTGCTGCTGGCTCTGCAATCACTGCTTCCTTGTCCTATTTTATTGTGATAAATGACTTTAAGCACTGCTCAGAAGAGAGAATCCAGGAGATTAATCCTGGCATTAATCCCTTGTATTCCCATGAAGTCATGCCCTCTGCTAGTTCTTGCTAACAGCTTTCTTTAAAGCTTCTGCACTGCAAGAGCCGTGATGTTGCTTTTGTCTTCTGTAGTACCATGACTTTGGGGTGCAAGGAGCTGAGCTGTGGCTGGCTACCAGCTCAGACCGCCGGGTCAGCGTTTGGGCCTCCGACTGGCTGAAGGATAAGTGTGAGCTCCTCGACTGGCTTAGCTTCCCTGCTCCTGCCAGCCCCGAGGTGAGTGTTCTGCCCCCCCACTCACGTCCCTGTCTTGGCACCATGCAGCCCCAGTCCCTTCAGCACGCTCTCCCTGGCTGTAGATGGGATGCTGAAGCATCCTAACTCCATCCAAAGTCACGTGAAACCATCCTGTCAGCTCAGTCCAGTGTGTTTACGTGTGTTGTTTCAGTCACCCAGCAGGGGAGGGATGCCTCGAGGCTTTGAGAAGGATGGGTGCAAACAGTGAGTCCGCTTAGCAAGGTGATTTTCATGGGTTCTGCTGCTCGTGGGATGTCTTACTCGTGCACCTTTGAGGTGTTGACAGGCAGTGTGAGCTGCGTATGGTGCTGCTTAACCACTGGGAAGCACTGATTTTGTGAGCAAGAAGAGAAAAAACTGCATTCACACAGCTGATACTCCTGTGCTGTGTGAAACTGAGCACAGCCAGGAGCCAGCACAGGCAGTGTGCAGATGAGAGACCTAACGATGAGCCTCCTGCTGATTGACACTGCCAATGAGCGTGAATATCCTGAACCAGGAGCCCAGTGACTGTGAACAGAGCCAAATACTCCTGCTCCAGCCCTGAGTCTCCGTTACTCTGCAGAGCTGGCTGCAGACCAGTCAAAGTCAGGGATCTGAGCAGAATGATGTTGCTAGAAAACAGAGGGGTTCTGTATGGGACAGGATATTGGCCCCTTGTGTACCTGACGTTGGCATGCAAGAGGAAGGTGGGCTTTTCTGATCCTCACCTGCTGCCCCCAGGCCCACGCACACTGCAGGCTGTTACAGGTCTCCCCATGGTGAATTTGGGAAGGACTGATCTTGCATCCCATACTAATGATGTATATCTTTTGGGCTCTATTTGCTTTGTGTTGAAACTAATCCATTAATCCAGCCCAACCTTCAAGCCCACGCAGGAATAATGTCATGGTGGAAATTCTGCCTGTTGGACTCTCGTGTGTCCTGCTTCCATGACAGTAAACAACGAGCTTCAGGTTCCCATGGCAGTGTGTGTTTGCTCCTTGTTTCTTTACAGTGAGCAGGGCTGAGATGGCAGTGAGGGAGAAAACAGCCTTTTTGTATCATATGAATTTTCTGGTGCTTATACACCTACAGCCCAATGGCTGGTAACTGCTCCGTGCTCCCTGCCGTGTTGTGTTGGGCTGGAAAAGCTAGCCTCAGTTTGGTTCCTTTTGGTTTCCCCTGCCAGGGTCATGGCAGCCTGCCACCCAGCCTGGCTGCGTTCTGCCCTTGGGAGCATGGAACCTTGGTCTATGTTGGCTTTGGGATGCAGAAGGAAGCCCTGTTTTACAGCCTGCGCAAGAAACAGGTATCTGTACCCTCCCTGTGCATCGTGCCCAGGCAGCATGTGCTCCATTGCATGGCTTTGTTGAACGAGATGGTGGGGAGGCAGTGCTCCCCATCTCCCTCGAAGGGCCTGCAACATAAGGCAGGGGCTTGCAGATGAGCCCCTCTTTCTGCAGGGGGAGAGCTGGACTCCATCTTGACCCAAATGACAGCTCCCACTGCAGTATCCACTCCTGCTAATAGGAGCTGCAAGTAATACAAGCTTTAGGTTTTGAAATTGGTTCAGCAAGCAGCTGGGCAGTGTGGCAGCTTTTCACTCAGAAACTCCAGCTCTGGCCCCAGGCCCCTGGGCAGGCTGCCAGTCACTGATGCTTCTTCTGCAGGGGAAGGTGTTTGCTTTTGGGAGCGCTAACAGTCTCTAAATTGTCAGGTCACCTCTTGAAGGGGGGTGCCTTTGGCAGGTTTTTGAGCCTGGAGAGAGGTTGTGCATCTGTCAGCCTCCCCACGGAGGAGGAGCCCTTTACCCTCCTGAAGGTGTCACTTAGGCAGCTGTTTTGCTGCCTGCTCAGTTCTGAGATGTTGCTGTGCTTCTCTTGCTGGAGCACAGGTCGTTGAGAAGATCTCCTTGCCATACTTTGCCACGTCCCTGAGCCTGTGTCCTGCAGCACGCTTCATGGCTGTCGGCTTCAGCGGTGAGTACCAGCCAGTGCTGTGGGCTCTGCTCGTCCCCCCAGGTGTGTCATCCCAGGAACAACAGCCCTGGGAGTGAAGTAATCTGCCCTGCTTCAGGGCAGGGTAGTGTGTCAGGCAGGGAAAAAACATAGAAGTGGTAAGGTTGGAAAAGAACACTCAGATCATCTACTCCAACTGCCCACTTCCCTCAGTGCCACATCCCCAGGGTTCTGGAACACCTCCATCACTGAGCAGCAGTGCCACTGTAGCATTGCTCTTTCTGAGCAGAAATGTTTCCTAACATTCAGAATGGCCGGGGTTGGAAAAGACCTCAAGGATCACGAATCTCCAAACCTCCCTGCCACACGCAGGGCCACCAACCAGCCCAGGCTGCCCAGGGCCCCATCCAACCTGGCCTTGAACACCTCCAGGGATGGACGGGGCATCACAGCCTCTCTGGGCAGCTGTTCCAGCACCTCACCACTCTCACAGCAAAGAACTTCCCCTGACATCCAACCTCAGTCTGCCCTCCCTCAGCTTCAAACCATTTCCCCTTGTCCTGCTGTTATCCACCCTTTTCAGCAGTTGACTCCCCTCCTGGCTGTAGGCTCCCTTTAGGTACTGCAGGCTGCACTGAGGTCACCCCCAGTCTTCTTTGCTCCAGGCTGAACAAGCCCAGCTCCCTCAGCCTGTCTTTGCAGTGGAGGTGCTGCAGCCCCTGATCATCTCTGTGGCTCCCCTGCACCCTCTCCAACAGCTCCCTGTCCTGTTTGGCCTGGGGGCTCCAGCCCTGGACGCAGTGCTGCAGATGGGGCCTCACAAGAGCAGAGCAGAGAGGGACGCTCACCTCCCTGTCCCTGCTGCCCACCCCTCTGCTGATGCAGCCCACGATCCCGTTTGCTTTCCCAGCTGTCATCACACACTGCTGCCTCACGTTCGGCTTTTCAGCCATCAGGACCCCCAGCTCCTTCTCTGCAGGGGGCTGCTGGCTTCCTTTCAGGAGCTGTAGAGGAGCAGTAATGTCTCTTGAGTCTTCTCCAGATGAACCGCCCCCCACCCTCAGGCTCTGACCCCAGCGTGTCTCCCCACAGAGCGGCTCCTCCGGCTGCAGCGCTGCCCTGCCGGCCTCCCCCAGGACTACGCTGCTCACGACGACGCCGTCCACCTCTGTCGCTTCGCTCCCGCCGGCCGCCGCTTGCTGACGGCCTCGCACAGCGCGGTTCTCGTCTGGGAGCTGCTGGGCGCCTGAGGCGGGGTGGCCTCGTTGCGGGCCGGGCTGCGGCTGTACGCCAGGCCTCGGCTCAGCCCCCCAGCTAGGCCGCAGGCCCTGCGGCGGGTCGTGGGACGCTCCGGGGCTGCTGTGCTGTGCTGTGCTGTTTATTTATGACGCGATTTGTTGCTCTATTTTTTTGGGGGGGGTAATAAAAAAAGACGAAAAGCGAGGGTCATACCTCCGACCGGCTGGGGGCGCTGTGCTGGCAGCGCCGCTCTATCCCCCACCACTGGCTGGTTGCCACCGGAAGCGGCACTGGCGGCGGCGGCGACCCCGGGAGCGGCGGCGGTGCCGCCATGAAGCGGGACGTGCGGATCCTGCTGCTGGGGGAGGGTAAGGGCGGACAGCGGGGCCGGGGGGGGGAGGAGCGGCCGGGCCGCTGCGGTCCCCGCGGTGCTGAGGCCGATGGCAGCGGTTTCTCGCCGCTGTGCGGGCCTCCCTTGGGCCCTATGGCGTCGGGCCGGGAACGGCCGCTGAGGCCGGGTGTGTGCGGCTCCGTGCGGCGCCAATGTTTCCCCTTTCTTTCCTAGCCCAGGTGGGGAAGACGTCCCTGATCATGGCTCTGGTGGGAGAGGAGTTCCCCGAGGAGGTGAGCGCGGAGCTGCAGGGCGGCGCTGGCACCGCTGTGTCCGGCTGCGGCCCCAGGCGTTTGGAGGCGGAGCGGTGCTTTCTCCGTGCCCCCACCCATGCGGCTTCTCCGTTTGAGTGCTGTTCCTCTGGGGCCTCGTTCCCTGCTGCTCCCTCGGGGGCTTTGCAGCCTCATCGCAGTACCGCGACAGAGCCCATGGAAGGGGCCGGGCCACGCCTGCCTTCCTGCGTGGCTGGAGCAGGGCCTGGCACTCTGAGCAGGGCTGTCACTGTGGTCTCCAGCCTGCCTACACGTGCCCCTCCGGGCCTCTGGCTGTGTGGCTTGCCGTCCCATCCCAGCTTGGATGCAGAAGGGGCACTGTACTGCTCCACCAGTAGTCTGCCTGCAGGCAGATAGTGCTCACTGGGAAGCATAAGCTTGCAGGGGAACAACTGGGTACCAGCACCTTTCTGTGTTTCACAGCAAAGCCCAGGCAATCAGCTTAGCCTGTCTCCAGCTGCCAGGAGGTCAGGCTGGAGCTAGGGGAGCACTTGAGGGCTTAGTGGGGGGGTGGCAGCTCTGATTTTTTTTTTTTTAAATGCTGCTTCCATGACGGGACACAGGGCTGCGTCTCCAGGCAGTGCTCAGGGCTGGGAGGCCGTCAGATTTCATTGTGTGAGGAGCAGGCAATAGCACACATCAGCCTGCTGCAGCTCTCAGCAGGCAGGGAAGCAATCTGCGGGCAGGAGTCACCCTTCCTGGGCAGCAGCTACATTGAGATCTGAGTGCCTCATCTCCCATCCTCACCATTGCTTGGTCTGACTGGCTGCTTCATGCAGCAGAACACAGTGCCTGCTTTGTAGGTGCCACCTCGTGCAGAAGAGATCACGATCCCGGCTGATGTCACACCTGAGAAGGTCCCCACTCACATTGTAGACTACTCAGGTGAGACTGTCTTGATCCCTGCTGGCCTCCCTTCTCCTTGCATACCTGCAGCAAGCAGGAAGGGTGCTGCCCCTACCGCAGCAGCCATTGACAGTGGGTGGTGACAGTTCTTCTCCCTTTCCAGAGACAGAGCAGACTGAGGATGAGCTACAAGAGGAGATTGCTAAGGTGAGCGGGGCTGGATGGGGCATCGCAGGGCAGAAGGCTGCACTGCCATGAGCCTGCCCATGACATGTGACTGCTCTCTCTTTCCATTAACCACCCAGAGATGTGCAGGCAGTTGGTTATCTGCAGATTAACGCTAGCAGTTTGTTTAGCACTTTGTTTAATCCTTCTCTGTGTTGTAAGCTGTTACAGGGCTTGTCCTCGCCTTCTGGAGAGCCACCAGAAGGTGAGCGGGGGGGGGGGGGCAGCTCCCTCCTGACCAGTAGGTAGAGGAGGCTGCTGAGCACGTGGTGTGCTTCCAGTCCTGGGACGTTCCCAGGAGGTGGAGGGGAGCAGCAGTTGTTGATGAGACCCTCTGTTCCCTGCTTGAGGTCCCTATGGCTGTCTGATAAAGCAGTGACACAGAGGTGGTGTTTTGGGAGATGGAGCCCTGGGGCATATTGGCCAGGGAGGAGAAAGAATCCATCCAACTGGCCCTGCTGCTTTCCTTCACTTTGGGATTAATTTTGGCTCCTTCAAGAGGAGAGTGTCTTGATAGTATGTAACAAAGCCCTCTCCCCCCCCAGTTTTGCATCTCACAGCAAAACTTCTGCATTGTTCCACCTTGGCATCTAACAGCTGAGGAGGTGGGCCATGGGCACTGGGCTCCTGCTCCCTCTGCCCAGAGAGGAGGAATGTCCTGAGATGCTTAAAACGGCTCCAGAAAATCCTGCCTAAACCCTTGTGCATCCCTGGGATTAGCACTAAACTCTCCCCTGAAAGGGCCAGTGATCCCTTCTGTCTGCTTGAAAGAAAGCGTCAGTGTCAGTGCTGTCTGTGCAGGGCTGGGAGGGGGAGGTCAGCAGCTGCCAAACCACCGTGAGTGTGGAAGTGGGGGAGTTGAGGGGTCAAGTGCAGGGAGGGGAAGGAGTGGTTCCCATGCACAGCCAAATGGAGAAGGGGACCCTGGCTGCCTGGCACAGGGCTGGCACCCCAAGAGCATCACTTGGGAGAGCATGGCGTGGTGGTGGCTGTGCTGGTGGCTGTGGGATGAGGCCTGAAGCAGAGAGAAGTGAGGCTGTGCTCCCGGCATCCCACTGCAGAGCTGGGGTTGGGCAGCAGCGAGGCATTGTGGTCAAAGGGCTCCTCTGCCTTTGCCCTGCCTTTAGGCTTGGGCTGAGCAGCTCTGTGTGCTGCCACCACCCTGCCTGGTTTGGTATGGCTGCTGTGTGGCTGGCATGGCCACACGTGTGCCCTTCCTCTTCTATGGAGGCCTTACATGCAGGGAGGAGCAGGGGTGGGAGCTGCCGTGTGCTTTCTGCCAATGTGGGGAAGGAAAACATCTATGCTGTGCCAAGAGCTGAGAAGGGAGATTCTGCATGCTGGCACAAAACAGCTGAGGTTATAGCTGATGTTGTCCAGTTCCCAGCAAGCCTGCAGGCAGCATGTGTGTTGTGTTCTTGTGGGTACTGCTCATGCATTCTAAACCACAGCTGCTGGGTTTTAGTGCATGCGCAGTGGCAGCATTTGGGGCTGGAGCTGCCTAAGCTTGGAAGGCTTCCCTGCCATTATGAGAGCACCAGGACTTTTGCTCACTCCTTTTCTGCTTCTCTCTTGCAGGCCAATGTGGTCTGTGTGGTGTATGATGTCACCAAGGAAGCCACGATTGAGAAGGTAACGTGTCCCCTTTGGGAGCCTTGAAGTGCCCCCAGCCCTCCAGAGCTTTTGGGGTTTGGGACTCCTGCAAGCAGAGACAGGCTGAGCACAGCCTGGGCTTGCTCCCACGCTGGCAATTGTCCGTCTGTGCTGGAGGCAACAGGCCTGTCACATCTTTCTGCTGGCATACAGCATCCCTGGGTGTGCTCTGCCTGCTGGTGCGGGGGAATGCTGGGGAGCAGATGGCTGCAGGGCCCTGCTGACAGCCACGCTGTGTGCACTGGGAGCTGCCTCTCCCTCCCCAGTCTGCTCTCACAGGTCCTTCTCTGTGCTTGCCTTGCAGATTCGCACAAAATGGATCCCCATGGTGAACGGGAGAGCTGAAAAGGGTGCCAGGTACTGCGGGCAGAACTGGGAGATTGCAGGGCCCTCACTGCCTTTGTTGCGTGTGGAGGTTGCTCAGATTGAGCCAGCTGTGCAACCGGTGGTTAGACCACTTGCAGCAGAAGAATGTGGGGGCTTTTCTCCCTTGTGGGTCTAGCTGAGTCAGAGGGTCACAGGAGAAGGCTTTCCCCCTCCCCCCCACCTTGGTGTCTCACTGGCAAGGCAAGAAGAGGGAGGCTGCTAAGGGAGGATGGCAGCACAGAAGCCATAGGCTGCATGTGGGTCGCTTAGACAGAAGGCTGCTGCGTTGGATTAAAAGCTCCTGAACATATTGCTGCTGGGTGAAAGCTTAAGCAGGATCAGGCAGTCTGTTTCTCCAGATGGATGCTCCCAGCCGTAGGAAGCAGGAAAGCTGTTCTGGACCTTGCAGAGGAAGGCAGGGAGGCTCCCTGGCCGGCTGTGCAGCAACGTGTGCAGCTGGAGCCCAGCTGAGGCTGGCGGGGGGGTGGCTCCACTCGTGCTCTCTGACTCACCATCTTTCTCCCTCAGGATCCCCATTATTTTAGTTGGAAACAAGTCTGACCTGCAGATGGGGAGCTCCATGGAAGTCATCCTGCCCATCATGAACCAGTTCTCGGAGATTGAGACCTGTGTGGAGGTGAGGGACCTGAGTGTTTATGAAAAGCCTCTGTGAGGGTAGGAGCACGTGACTCTTGGCCAGGGGAGCCTTCATGTTTTGGGGGATCTGCCCCACTAGTGTTGCTCTGCAGAATGACCTCAGTCTGAGCCTCAAGGGCCTGTGCTTTATGCTTTCTGTGCTTTGCTTTCCACACATAGAGTGGGTTTTGGTGTCTGCCCTGTCTAGCTGTAAACAGTGCTGGAACTGCACGCAGCCCATGTAGGCTCTGAGGCACAGCAGAGCCTGAGTGTGTGCAGGAGGATTCCACTTTGTTTTCTTCCTGATGCTGGACAGAGATTGCTCTGTGCTTTCATGCATTATTTCGTGGCTTGGAGAGCTCCTGTCAACCTCCTCCCCACTGTCACAAGCCCTTTGCCCACTCATAGCATTGTGTCTTCCTTTGAACCCACAGTGCTCTGCCAAGAACCTCAAGAACATCTCTGAGCTCTTTTACTACGCCCAGAAAGCTGTGCTGCATCCCACTGCACCCCTGTATGACCCGGAAGAGAAGCAGGTAGGAATCTGCTCACAGCTCCTGGAGGTGTCTCTGCCCATCACACCTGTGGGGTCACAGAGTTCCAGACTGGTGCTGTGCCTTTTACCCCTGGGAAGGATGTGGAGAATTTGTGCCAAAGTAGCAAGAAGGGGAAAGCAGTTACCCCTGGGGGGAGCCAACAGAGGAGGAAAGAGCTCTCCCTGTTAAGTGCAGCCAGATGAGAGTACACTGACCAGAGATACCTGCAGGAGCCCTCGTGCTCCAGACTGTGTGGTGGGAGGAGTCCAAGGGAAACCTTCCCTGTGGGCCGTCATGCTTCTGACCTCCAGCTTCAGCATGGCTGTGGTGCTGGCCTACCTGAGCCACGCTCCCATTGCAGGAGGGGCTTTGGGGTTTGGGAGGCAGAGGAAAGAGCCACACCAAATGCAGTGCCCTGGTTTTGTTACTATGGTTGGTCCCTTGCAGCTGAGACCTGCGTGTTCACGAGCGCTGACCCGGATTTTCAACCTCTCAGACCAAGATAATAACCAGATCCTCAGCGATGATGAACTCAACTACTTTCAGGTAGGGTTGGCTGTGGAGCTGCAGTATCTCCTGGTCCTCCTTGGGTCCTTCTATCTCACCAGCAGGTGAGATGGAGGGTTTCTGCTGTCCATGTGCTGGCTCACAATGACCTTCTGTCTCTTGGGAGGTAGAAGTCCTGCTTTGGAAACCCTCTGGCTCCCCAGGCCTTGGAGGATGTGAAGATGGTTGTGTGGAAGAACACCACGGACGGAGTGCAGGACAACGGCCTGACGTTAAATGGTAACAGCAAGGGACTGTCTGCTCCTTCACTGCCAGGAGTGGATGGATCCACCTCCTTCAGCATATTGCAGAGGGGCCCTGTCACCAGGCTGAGCCTCCTGGATCTCAATCCAGGCCTAATGAAGCAAACTTGAGCCAGCTATGGCTATGTGAAGCTTTCTGTCCAAGCGTGGTTTTTCGGGTGAACGCGTACTCCTGAGACAAAGATCCCTGAGGCTGAATCCCAGTCTGGCCCCTGTTGTCTGAGCTGCTTGATCTCTCCCCCACAGGCTTCCTCTTCCTCAACACGCTCTTCATCCAGAGGGGCCGCCATGAGACCACATGGACTATCCTTCGCCGCTTTGGCTACGATGACGAGCTGGAGCTGACAGATGATTACCTGTACCCACAGTGCGTATCCTGGTGTGGAGTGGGGCTGGCAGGGTGTGACAACCCTGTGGTGTACAACTCAGTACCCTGACATCTGCTGCATTGCTTGGCTGAGGTTGAATCTGCACCCTGAGCTTACGGCCGTGTTCACGTTCCTCACCTTTCCCTATGGTCACGAGCTGGGAACAGGGGGTTGGCAATAATGTGAAGGCCTTGAAGTTGTTAACTGTGCTGTTGGCTGTGACGTAGGTGGGCAAAGAACAGAGCGATGAAGGCTTGTCCCTGACTTGCCTTGACATCAACAAGGGACTTTTGAAGGCTGTTCTGGTCTCTGCCTGAGCCGAGCTGTCAGGAGCCGTGAGCAGTCAGCATAGCCTTCCTGGCTGATTCTGTAGCTGCTGTCTCTTCTCTGCTCCCTGCCACCCTGGAGGTGGTGATCTGGCAGTAATGAAAGGCTTTGGCTGTGAGCTGCCTCATCTTCTCCCCAGAGAGCAGGCAATGGTGGAAGACAGCAGGGCCCGTGCTGATGGAAAGCACCGTGTCTAGAGCTGTGCCCTTCTGCAGCCCTGAGTGTGAGGCTAAGCAAAGCTCCCAGTCTGGGAGGTGGTGCAGATGTATTGAGGGGAGCCTGCTCCACACGCTCAGCACCTTCTCCCTATAGCCAGGGAACAGCCAGGCCTAGGGACAGCCACTGGCCACGGGCAGGGAGGGACTGTGGAGCCCTGTGCTCTGGCTGAGACGTGGCTTTGCAGAGGACCTGCTGACACACTGCCCTTCGTTCAGGGAGCGAGGAGGTGCTGGAGCTGCTCACTTGGGTCTCTCCTGGCAGGTTCCGCCTGCCTCCTGGCTGCTCCACGGAGCTCAACCACCTGGGCTACCAGTTCCTGCAGCGGCTCTTCGAGAAGCATGACAAGGTGTGCAGGGCGCCGTGTAGCTTCTTGCTGAGGCTTGGGTGGTCGCAGTGAGCTGCAGGTACCTCACTGTGGCTGCACATCGGGGCCGTGGGACTGGGGTCACCACCCTTGACCAAAGAGCAGGTGGTAAAGTGTGGGCCTTTGGGATCTGAGCTGGTGTCAGCCGTGCAGTGTGACCGTCTGTGGCGCACAGGGTGATAGGGAAAGTGATCAGAGCTGCTGGCCTGCAGCCACAAACTGAGCAGAAGTGTCCACGCAGCTGGCAGCCCCGTGGAAGGGGTGCTGGGCTGCAGAGAGGGAATGAAAGCAACTAATTTGGCTCTTTGGAGAGTGAGGGAAGGGCCTGTCTTGGATGTGCATGCATCTGATCTAATTATTTACATGTTGGTATGCATCTGGGGTATGGTGGCTCCATGGGAGCTGCAGCACTGAGTCGAAACATGCCTCTGTGTGCCCAGATGCCAGCAGATCCTCTGTGGTGTGGCCCTATGGCATGCCTACCCTGAAGCTGCTGTGTTGGCGTGTGGTTGTCTGGAGGGCTTAGCGACTGCTTGCAGACCTCAGGCTGCTTTCCCTGCAGCACAGGCCTGCAGCGTGGCAGGACCAGCAGCTCAGGGCTGCAGGGTGCATGTGAACAGATCCTTCCCATTGGCAGAGCTGGTGGTGGCTCCAGTTTTAGTCACAGAACAGAATCCCCTCTGGCAGTGCCTGTTAGTTGTACAGTGATGAGTGTCCCTGGGGTTCAGGCTCTTTGTGCAGTCATGCAGCTGTGGCCTCGCTTGCAATTGATGTCTGCTATTGAAAGGATCCCTGTGTCATTCTGCAGCAGGAAATGAGTTGGCTTCAGTGTGCCAGAACCCCTAGAGAGGGGTCCCTGACAGCACTTGATGTGGCTGTAGAGAGCTGCTGTGTGCATGTAGTCTGTGTCCTTCCTCAGCTGCTGACTCCCACTTGTTTTGGCAGGACCAGGATGGAGCCCTCTCTCCTGCAGAGCTGCAGAACTTCTTCAGTGTCTTCCCCTGCATGCCCTGGGGCCCTGAGCTCTACAACACGGTATGCACCACTGATAAAGGCCTGCTTTCCCTGCATGGATTTCTCTGCCAGTGGACGTAAGCTCAGTCCCTCTCCCACGTTGTTAGTCCCGTCACGTAGTGCTTGCTGACCTTGTCAGCATCCCCCTGACCAGCTTCCCAATGCTCTCTGTCTCTCCAGCCTCGTAGCCTACCTGGATGTGCAGCACTGCCTGGAGTGCCTCGGCTACCTGGGCTACCCCATCCTGTCGGAGCAGGACTCCCAGACTCAGGCCCTCACAGGTACAGCAGTGCTCTCACCTCCTGACAGTTTGGTGTTCCTCCTCGCACTCACCCGCCCTTACTTTTGCCAGTGACCAGGGAGAAGAGGATTGACCTGGAGAAAGGCCAGACCCAGAGAAACGTCTTCCTATGCAAGGTGCTGGGAGCCAGGGGCGCAGGCAAGTCTGCCTTCCTGCAGGCCTTCCTCGGCAGGAGCCTCGCGGTGAGTGGCTGCTCCCCTCTCTGGTGGAGCAGGAGGCAGAGCGTGAGGCTGCTGAGCAATCTGCTGTGTGCCAGCACCTTCCTGCCCTGGCCAGGGCCGGCGTCCCAGCGCAGGGCTTTGTACCACCCCTCTACGCTGTGGCTCTTGCCCCTTTATTTTGCGTAAGGCTGTGGGTCCCCTCCCTCTGCTTGTCCCAAGGATTCTGAGAGGCTGTTTCTTTCCTGATCTGACCAAGGAGATGCTGGTTTTTCCCTGCTCGTTGCTAACGGCCCTTGTCTCGTGGCAGACTCTGGCTGGCTTTCAAGGGCAGTGGCTGTTAGACCGCAGGGATCAGAGCAGCGTGAAGTGTTCTCCCTCCCCTAAGCACTCTCCCTGCTGTCTGAGACGGTGTTTTCATCCATGGCAGGTCCAGAGGGAGGACCCAGGAGAGCCATCTCTCTACACGATCAATACCGTGCAGGTCAACGGCCAGGAAAAGTACCTCATAGTAAGTGTGGGAGAGGGGAGCATTGCTGCTACGTCTGCCTGGCTGCAGGCAGCAGGGCTGGGCTGTGTCCACCCGTATCACACCATCAGAGCACCCCTGTGCTGTGCTGTGCCCGTGGCTGTGTTACACTGCATCATGTGTGTGTCGATGTGAGACTCGGCTCCGCCTCCTCACGGCAGTGCTGTGCCCCCTGTCCCTTCCTTTCCTGCTCCAGCTGCACGAGGTCAGTGCTGAGATGCAGTTCACAAAGGCGTCGGACGCAGCCTGCGACGTTGCCTGCTTGATCTATGACCTGAGTGACCCCAAATCCTTCAGTTACTGTGCCAGTATTTATAAGGTGAGTGCAGGCACCCTGGGAGGCATCGGCCTTTTGAGTGGCGGCCCTGCATTTCCCAGGAGGGTGCAGGAGCAGCCTTGCCCTGCCCACACCTCCGGGAAGCGCTGCTGCCTGCCCAGCCCTCCTGCCTTGGTCCCCTCTTGGCTGGGGAACCCTTGTGATTCCCTCCCTGGAGATGCATAGGGCAGTGGCCAGTTATTCACCCCTCACCTTCTTCCTCTGCCTGCAGCAACACTACATGGACAGCCAGATCCCCTGCGTTTTTGTGGCCTCCAAGGCAGACCTGCCAGAAGCAAGCCAGCAGCCCGGGCTGTCCCCAGCTGAGTTCTGCTACAAGCACTGCCTCCCACCACCATTCCTCTTCTCCTGCCACAGCCAGGGCCCGCCCAGCACTGCTGTCTACACCAAGCTGGCCACTGCTGCCACCTTCCCGTTAGTATCCGTGCCACGGAGGGGCTGTTGGCTGGGAGCTGAGGGCAGGAAGCTGCAGTTTCCCCACCCTGCAATCCGCGTGGTTTCTCCCGAGCTCTCGATATCATCTGCTTATGTGATTAATGGGAACAAAAGGGCCGCTTTTTTTTACCCGATATGAGAGGGCGAAGGGACTCAACTGTCTTCTGCCTCGTGCAGCCCTCTGGCAGATTTATTGGATAAGCTCTGATGGCAGGATCTTTGTTTTTTGAAGGCTGAGATAAAAAAGTGCTGAAAGGTGAGTAGCCAGCCTAGTGTGCCAGCGCCTGCAGGGAGGAGGAGGTGGCTGTTTTCTCCTGATCAGCAGCAGCAAAGAGATCAGAGGAGCAGGACCTCAGGATGCTTTGGGAAGGAGCTGCTCCTGAAGGGGGCTGGGCAGCACGGTGGGGGCTCTGCCCTTTCCAGGAGAGCATGTGGGTGCGTTGGAGAACAGGATGGGATTACCAGTGAGTGGTTTTCCCTTTAGCTTTTTCAATAAACAACTTTATTTTTAGAGCCAACGCTCTTTTTTTTTTTTTTTTTTTCTTCTTCTTTTTTTTTCTCTGCAGTATTAAAATTTAAATATTCTTTATATATCTTAGGGTATTTGGTATAAATAAATAACAGCGTAACGGAGGGCCGGGGATTGGCTCTTCTCCTCCCCATTTAGTGGAGAATGAATAATGGATACGTCTTTTCTCCTCGTCGAGGAGCTCAGTGATGCAGGGCAGCACGTGTTTAGGAAGGGAGTGTGCACGATCAGAGGGCACAGGGCCCTTCCTCCCTGTCCCCAGCTCAGTACCGTGGCTGCTGCTGATTTTCTCACCCCTGTGCCAGCATCGCTGCACCCGCTTCTGGGGCTCTCTTGCACTTGGAGCTGTAAAAGCAGCCTGACCTAGAAAGGAAGATGAGTACCTCCTTGCTGGTACTAATTATTTAGATGTTGGTGTGCTATTTCAGGGCTGTGGGAGGGTGAAGGCTGCCTCCCTTCCACCAGCCATCGTCGGGTTTGATGGTGATGCCGCGTGGCGGGCGCTCGGCGTGCGGGAGCCTCGCGGTGCTCAGTGCTGCACCAGCACCTTTGGATGGGGTTTGTCCCCTGGAGCTGAGCCGTGCCATCCTGAGAGCTGTCAGGCTCGTTTGGACACCTGTCTCCTTTCACATCGCTCACCCATCTTTTCTCTCTTCCCTTGCAGCCACCTGAATGCTGTGGAGCTGGGAGCTGCGTCCTTCTGGCTCCGGGTGGCCCTGGGGGCTGCAGTCACTGCCCTGGTGGGCTTCACGCTGTACCGCGTGCTGGCCAAGAACAAGTGAGAGCTGCTCTGCGCCCCATCCTTCCTGTGCCACCAGCTCCCTGTCCTGAACCGTGCCCCATGAGGGCCCGCTGCTCCCTGGTGGGAAATCCTCCTCCCCCAGCCTCAACTGCAGGATCAGAGAAGCCAGAGTTCCCAGCACCAGCAGGATCGATCCTTGGCACCAGCCAGCCTCGCCCCACTGGTCCCCGGGCACCTTGCCTGTGTGGCAGCTGGGGGGCTCCTCCCTGGAAGCCAAAGGGATCACTCCCTTCTTTTATTCTATTAATGATTTTTTAACGTTTGTTTTTATGTTCAAACACGAGCGTTTATCTGTCCATGGGCTGGGCACATCCCTGCTGCAGGGTGACGCTCCTGGAGCTGTGAGGGCCTCCAGCAGTGCCAGCACTGAGGCTGTCAGGATTTCTGCCTGCTGCAGCAGTGCTGGGCAGCTTCGGCCCCATAAGGCACACTCCCATCCCGAGTCCCTGTTTCCCAATACCACCCCATCTGGATTTTGGCCCATCTGCCCTCCTCTCCTACCTGCTCGTGTGTCCCTTCCCTCTCCCCCACAACCAGTATTCCCAGTGCCAGAGAGCACTACATGGGCTGAGGATGCCCTTGCCTGGCGGTGCCATCATGTCCTGCCGTTCCCTCTGCGGGTCCCTACCAGAGCAGGAGGCTCTGAGCATTGCACCTCCTGGTACAACTGGAAGCTGTTTTCCCTCCATGCCCACCTCCAGCCAGTTGGCATTTCAGCCGGCAGGAGTTTGGGGCTGCTCCTGTTCTCAGCATCTCAAAGAATGATACCAGCCTGTGCTGTCCCTGGGAGCTCCACACTCTACTGCCCCGGGCTCCCAACCCATTTCTGCTGTGCCAGGGGGTTTCTAGTGAAATAAGTGACACTAGCTCTTGGGCTGCACTCAGGGTAGGCTTATTTACAGGCAGCTCAGGGCAGCACTGAGGGACAGCCCACTGCTTCTGTGTCCCTTCATCTATTTCAACTTGTACTGTGGCCTGGGGCCAGCGAGGAGTTGGAGAAGCCACCATTTGTGGGTAGCATCCTGCCATGCTGTCCCCATCCCAGCAGTGGCACTGTCCCCAACACTGGCTCTGTCCAGAGCTGCTTTTGCCAGCCTGGGGTTCTCCACTGCTACCCACCCACAGGGCCATGTCCTTGGGCTTTTCATCCCTGTTCTGTCCTGCTGCCTGCCTGGAGTGTGTCTGTGGGGCAGAGCCCTGGAGCACAGGGATGTCCCTGCGCCCTGCGTTGCTCCAGGCCTGGCACAGCTGTGCTGTTTTAGTTTTGTTCTCTACAATGAAATAAATTTTTACTCACCTTCCGTTCACAGCCCGTGTCTCTGTGTTGTCCTTGGTCTGGTTGGGGTCCCCACAGCAGGGAGGAGTCCTGAGGGCGGGGGCTGTCCACCCATCTGGGGAGAATTATGGGGATTTGGGGTGCAAACAGAAGCCTGGTTTCTGGATGAGGCCCTGGCCCTGCTTTCCAGCACTCAGCACTGTGCCACCTCCCTTCTGCTCCCGTTTCCCAGTGGCAGCTTTTCCCTCGCCCATTTCTGTCTCTGCAGGCTCCATCACAGGCTCTGGATACCAGGAACACGGTCTCAGTGCAGGAAAGGGATTTTCCCTGTACCTCTCCAGGGTCTTACGGTGGCCCCAGGGATGGCTAAACCCCACAGAGCACCTCTCCCACGGGTCCTGGGGAGCTGCTGCCTGTGCTCAGGGGCTGGACGAGGGCAGACACAAGGGATCCTTTCAGGGCAGAGCAGGCTCCCCAGGATGGGAGGGTATAGAGATAGATCGATCATCTGGCAGGCAGCTGGGCCAGATGCAGCATCTACCCAGTGCTGGGATGCTGCAATCCATACTGGGATGCAGATTATTGCACCAGGATGCAGGTTCCTGGACAATGATGCAGATCCTGATACTGGAATTCACATGCTCATACCAGGACGTTCGTTCTAGTGCTGGGATGCACAAACCAGGATGCACATACCTGTACTGAGATGCAGGTTTCAATACCAGGGTGCAAATTCCTATAGAAATATGTACATAGCAATACTGGGATGCTGGTAACATGCTGGGATGGACACTCTCACACTAGGATGCACAACTTGTACTGGGATGCACATACCTGTACCTGTACCAGCACCAGGATGCTGGTATCCATGCTGCAATGCTGATACCCACAGTGGGATGCTGGTACCTGTACTGGGATGCTGGTACCCATGCTGGGATGCTGGTACCCATATTGGGATGCTGGTACACATGCTGGGATGCTGGTACCCATATTGGGATGCTGGTACCCATATTGGGATGCTGGTACACATGCTGGGATGCTGGTACCCATATTGGGACGCTGGTACCCATATTGGGATGCTGGTACCCATGTCAGGATGCTGTTACACAGGCTGGGACACTACTACCCATATTATGGTACTGCTACCCATACTGGGACACCGGTACCCTTACCAAGACTCTGCTCCCCATACGGCGATGCACGAACCCATATCAGCTCCCGCAGGTTCCCGGTGCCGCCTCGCCCCCCGCAGCCCATCACAGCCCGCGGGTTCGGTGCTGCGTGCGGGGCGGAGCGGCCGCTGTTCCCGGGGTGGAGGACGGGGGGGGTCGGAGGGGGGGGACGACGAAAAGGGGGGAGCGCGGCGAGGAGGGGGAGCGCTGCGCCGCGCGCTGCGGCGGGGGCGGCTCCGTTCGGCTTCGCTCCCGCCCCCGCCTCCGCCGCCGCCCCGCTGCCACCGGCGGCTCCCGGCGCACGCAGCTCGCTGCCGGGCCCGGCGCAACGCGGGGCTGGCGGGGAGAGCCGCCCCCCCCGCCGCCCCCGCCGCCCGCTCCGCTCCCCTGCCCGGCTCGCCGGCCCCGGGCGCGGGGGAGCGGCGGAGCCCGGTGCCTGCCGGGTGCATGGACAGGAGCTCCCTGCTGCAGCTCATCCAGGAGCAGGTGAGAGCCCGGGGGGAGGGAGGGGAGCTCCGAAAAGGGGGGAGCTTCGTGCCCCGTGCCCCCAAACCGCGCGCGCGTGGTGCCGCTGAGGCCGCGCGGCTCAGCTCACTTGTGGCCTCCCTCGGGATCCCTGAAGGACGGCGGGGTGCTGAGCGACGGGGACGTTGGAAGGACCCCCCCCCAGAACCGACAGCCCCGCTGCGGGCTCGGAGCCCCGTGACCTGATTGCGGGAGCGGCGTTGCTGCGTAGCGCAGGGCAGGATCCGGCCCCGCCGCGGTACCGCTCGGTGCTCCCCGGCCCCGCAGCCAGGCACCTCCCGGCACCTCCCGGAGGTGCGTCCCGACCCAACCCGAGCAGAGCCGGCAGCATCGCCGCGGGCTGGGAGGGGATTCATCGTGGGGTTCGCGGTGCCCCTCTCGCCCCCCGGCTGCCTCCGTGACCTTGGGCGAGTCCCCCACTCCCCGCTGGGCACTGCGGTGCCGGGGTCACACCGGTGCCCCGCTGCCCTTCGGCACGGAGCGGCTCCTCGTTGGCCCCCCCCCGGCGTTGTGTGCAGGGAGATGCCTCCAAACCATCAGTGGCTCCCAGTGCTCGGTGTATGAGATGTGTGCTGGGTCCTGGTGTGGCACAGCACGTGGCATGTGTGTGGTGGGGGGACAAGGGGTACCTGGTGCTCCCTGTCTCTGTGCGTTGGTGGCTGTTGTGATGCTGTGCACATCCTGCATCCAAACGTGCACCCCGACCCTACACCAACCCTGCACCCTAACTGTACGCCTTCACCTCAAACCTACACCCAATCCTATATCCAACACTGCACCCCAACTCTACACTCAACCCTGCACCTAACCCTACACCCAAACCTCCGCACAACCCTACACTCAACCCTTCACCCAACACTGCACCCCAACTCCTCACTCCACCCTGCACCCAATCCTGCACCCAAATCTTCACCCATGCTTCCAACCCAACTCTGCACCCCAATCCTGTACCCAATCTTACACCCAATCCTATACCCAACCCAGCTCCCACTCTGCACTCAGTGGGGATGGGGCACCCAGTAGTGTGGGGTGCCCAGTGGTGTGGGTCACCTGTTGGTCACGGGGTGCCCAGTCGCATGGGGTATCCATTGGATAAGGGGTGCCCGTGCGGTGTGGGGTGCTCCAGCACAGGTGCTGTGGAGCCGGGAAATGCAGGTGCATGGAAGCTGTGAGGGAGGAGAAGAAGGAGGAGAAGGAGGAGGAGGAGGCTGTGCCAGCACCGCGCGTGTGTTTGGCTTCATGGCTTCCTGGCTGGCAGGCTGCTGGCAGTGGGGAAAAACTGAGTGGGAGAGTGGTGGCTGCGTGGCTCGCCGTGGGGATGGCACAGCTCTGTGATTTGCACAGCACAGAGCATGGGGGAGGGAGGGGAGGGACAAGGGACATGGGGTGGCAGCGATCCGGGTCACCCAGCTGCTTAGGGATGCAGGTTTCCATCCTGGGATGCAGGTTCCTGTGCCAGGATGCAGCCTGGCCATGCCCGTGCTGTTCTCCCTGCAGCTTGACCCTGAGAACACCGGTTTCATCGGCGTGGAGACGTTTGCCAGCCTCGTGCACAGCCATGAGCTGCCTTTGGATCCTGCCAAGCTGGACATGCTGGTGGCCCTGGCACAGGGCAATGATGAAGGGCAGGTCTGCTATCAGGAGCTGGTAGACCTGGTCAGTGCAGGGGTGACACGGCAATGGGAGCGGGTGGGTGCCACCCTGTGTGGGGTGGAATGGGATGGGACAGGATGGGACAGGATGGGATGGGGTGGGATGGGGTGGGATGGGGTGAGATGGGGTGGGGTGGGCACCCTCCAGTGCAAGCCAGGACCGGGTGCCCGCAGCTGGTTGTGGCGATGGTGGCCACAGGCTCTCTCCACAGATCAGCAGCAAGCGCTCAAGCAGCTTCAAACGTGCCATCGCCAACGGGCAGCGAGCCCTGCCCCGGGATGGGCTCCTCGATGAGACTGGGCTGGGCTTCTACAAGCGTTTCGTTCGCTACGTGGCCTATGAGATCCTGCCCTGTGAGATGGACCGGCGCTGGTACTTCTACCAGCACCGCACGTGCCCCCCACCTGTCTTCATGGCAGCTGTCACCCTCACCCAGGTGCCTGAACCCGGCCGCTTGTGGTGCCTGTGGGGTCTTAGACATGGAGTGGGTTGGGTGATACCAAACGTGATGCTGCGATTCCCGTGGGGTCTCAGACCTGTGGTGGAAGGGACAGCCGACCCTATGTGTAAAAAATCCCATCCCCACCGGGGATTCATCCCGAGGGTGACCCTGGCTGCGATACGCCAATGCCCTCAGTATGCCAAGGGGCGAATGTCCCCAGTGGTGGTGTCCCCCTGCAGGACGGCAGTGTCTCTGCAGTGCTGGGGTGCAACGGTCCTGTGCTTTCCCACAGATCATCGTGTTCCTGTGCTATGGGGCCCGGCTAAACAAGTGGGTGCTGCAAACCTATCACCCCGAGTACATGAAGAGCCCCCTGGTCTACCACCCTGGGCACCGCGCCCGCGCCTGGCGCTTCCTTACCTACATGTTCATGCACGTGGGGTGAGTCCCTGCTCTCAGCGGGATTCCTACAGCCCGGCCCATCTCACACGTCACCTTACGGTGTCCCATGGTGTCCCCTGCAGGCTGGAGCAGCTAGGGTTCAATGCCCTCCTGCAGCTGATGATCGGGGTGCCCCTGGAGATGGTGCATGGCATCCTGCGCATCAGCTTCCTCTACCTGGCCGGTGTCCTTGCAGGTGGGCACATGCCTGTCCCCATCCCCGTCTCCCTGCTGTCCCTCCGTCCCTGATTAATGGGGAACGTGTGGCAGGGTCCCTCACCGTCTCCATCACGGACATGCGGGCACCTCTGGTCGGAGGCTCAGGTGGGGTGTATGCACTCTGCTCGGCGCATCTCGCCAACGTCGTCATGGTCAGCAGCGGGGGCACCTCGGGGGGTGGGCAGCAAGGGGTGAGGTTTGGGGGTGGGCATCGTGAGGAGGGCATCCCTGGGTAGGCAGCAGGGGGTGGATGTCGTGGGGTGAGGTCGTGGGATGGGTTTTGTGAGTTGTGCATCCTGGAGTAAGATCGTGGGGTGGGCATAATGAGGTGGGTGTCACTGGGTGGGCACCGTGGAGTGAGAGTGCAGGGTGGATAGCATGGGGTGGGCAGCATGGAGTAGGCATCGTGGTGTGAGATCACGGGGTGGGTGTCGTGGGGTGAATCTGTGGGACAGCACCGTGGGGTTGACATGATATGGTTGGTTGGTTCCGTGGGATGAAACTGTAGGGTGGGCATCGTGGACTGGGCACCGTGGTGTGAGACTGTGCTGTTACATCGCAGTGTGGGCATCACGGTGC